ATCTCTCGCAACTTGCCGTAGTTACTTTCGAGCGTAATGGGCGATCTCGCAATCACTAGTTTGTTGGCTCTGCACTGCCGTAGCGCAAAGATGTCTGCCTCCATGGCTGCGAGACCCGCTCCTATGAAATTATAAATAACGAATTCTAAGGCAACGCAAATATTAAGGTTAAGAGGCTTAGCTCGTAGATGATGATAAATAACATAGTTATGTATAATATATTAACTTTCTGACTGTATATCCCTGTAATTATTACACACTGTAGCTTTAAATCAAAAACATTTGAAAAGAAAAATAATTTAATGCTACATGTAAAGTTAAATTCAGTTCTATTTAAATTCCAATCGATTTTAAATGATTATAACGACTCTCTTTAATTTTAATATATTTAATTTATTGTTATTTTGATCTTAGTCGTCCTTACAATACGTCTCTCATTAGTAAGAAACTTTTTATTTAAATTGTTCTGGTTGCCGACGAGAATTTGCCACTCACAAGATGGCGGAGGCGCACGGGCTTTTACCGTGGCTGGGTGCTGCCAACTGTTGCGCTCGAGCCTTTTATTTTTGAAACCGGAAATGGTTGTATTTACTCGGTCGCCATTGGCCGCGGCTTGTCAGCTGACCGTGTTTCCTGTCAGGAGAGGAAAAGTTTTGAAACCCCACCCTCAGCAGCGGCTGTAAGCAGCGACGTTGGAGTGGTCCGAGGAAGAGGAGCGGAGCTGCGACTCCCCACGGAGCAGGACCACCGCTTGCTACCGCCTCTATGAAACCGACCGCCGAAGTTCTGTTTGCCCGGCGCTCAACTCTCCACAGGGACTAAAAGTTAACGGCTGTTTTTTTTTTTTTTTCTTGAAGTTTTCCTCTCTCTCTCAGGCGGTTAAAGTCGAGCAGGTTTGGAGAGCTCTTCCTGTTCCCAGAGCTCCTTCATAACACAGCCAGCATGGATGTTGCGGCGCACGGGAATGCGGGATTTCCTGTGTGGCCACCGCAGTGTTGCGTTCAGGCGCACTTTCTGGATCCTCGGGCTTAAATAATGAAGAGCGGTCAGAGCTTGAAGGTTGTCGTAAAAACAGTGGTTGGCTGAAGTGAATGCTCCTTTTCCTGCTATTCTTCTCCTCCTCTGCGCTTCCTGCTGCTGCTGGCCCCTGCTCCTAATGGCTAAAAATACAGAAAAAACTCAACATGGACGTCCGAGTGTGTGAGAAACTGTGATTTCTGAGTCTTATGAAGCAGCTTTAGTCCTAAAGTTTAGAGTCTTCAGAGTTGGAAGCTGTAACAGGTGGTGATGGATGGAGGGAGGGGGGGTAGGAGCAGATCAGCCATGATGACTTGATTCCAGAAGCTGATAATGTAGTCAGGCCATGTGCAGGGAAACCACACACCTCATCAATGTTACAGAGACTGCTGCCTCTGAGATTCCATACAGGTCTGAGGAAGCCAGAGATGAGAAGATTTGAGTTTGTGAGGCGATTGGTTTCCTTTTGTCCCTGAATCTACGGCCCGGCGGTTGGGCTGACCTCTGACCTCATCTCCTTGGTCCCTGATGAGACAACAGGAAAGGGAGCAAGGTGTGATAAAGTACTCTTTACTCTCAGGCCCCCGGAGCGTCCGGTCGGGTCATCTAGCGGAGGCTCCATGGAGCCGCTGAAGAACATATTCGGTCGGAGCTCGCTGTCCAACTGGAAGAATCTGGAGCAGTCCAAAAAAGGGAACTTCATCAACCCCGTTTGGACGGCTTTGTTCGACTACGAGGCCTCCTGTAAGGATGAGCTCACCTTGCGTAAAGGTGATCTTGTGGAGGTCCTCTCGCAGGACTCCGAGATATCTGGGGATGAGGGCTGGTGGGCCGGGAAGGTCAACAACAAGGTGGGCATCTTCCCATCCAACTATGGCTCCTTCGCCAGCGGATACGCCAAGCTGCCAGGAAGCAGCGTGGTGGAGGAGCTGAACCGCGCCGTGGTGGGCAACGTCGATCCGGAGGAGGTGGATTTCCGAGAGCTGAGCCTGGAGGAGGTCATCGGGGTCGGGGGCTTCGGGAAGGTTTACCGCGGGACGTGGCGGGGCGAGCTGGTGGCGGTGAAGGCGGCCCGCCAAGACCCGGACGAGGACATCAGCGTGACGGCGCAGAACGTCAGGCAGGAGGCGCATCTGTTCGCCATGCTCACCCACCAGAACATCATCGCCCTGAAGGGCGTCTGCCTGCAGGAGCCCAACCTGTGTCTCATCATGGAGTACGCCTCGGGCGGACCGCTGAGCCGGGCGCTGGCCGGCCGCCGCATCCCGCCTCACGTCCTGGTCAACTGGGCCGTGCAGATCGCCAGAGGGATGGTGTACCTGCACAACGAGGCCATCGTCCCCGTCATCCACCGGGATCTCAAGTCCAACAACAGTAAGTCCTTCATATCTCTCAGCTGTAGCTGCCCTTCCCCCACCTGTTTCTGTGGATCCTTTACCATCATGTCTAACCTTAACCTTAACCTCCTCATGGCTGCGGCTTCATGAACAGGAAGAGAACTCAGACAGGTAGATGTGTCAGGCTGACCAAGTAAAAATAAAAAATCCTAAGATGGGAGTTTCAGGTAGAAAAGTTCCAGGCTTCAGCGACATCCTGCAGGTTTCTCTGCTCCTGAAGGACTGGATGAAGAGCAGGACCCCTCAGCTCGTCCAGTTCTCTGCCTGACTAAAAAAAAAAAAAAAAAAAAGTCTCATTCCTTTGATTTTGTTTGTTGAAACAGGGAAGCATCTAAACTCTGCAGGAGGGCAGCTGGAGGCTGGAGTTGAACACCGCTCCTCTGTGGGGGGGGGGGAAATCAGCTGTTATATAAAGGCTTTTTTTCATAATTGCGGTCGAATTTGATGACAGATCAGCGGTTTGCTAACGCTACTTTATGGACATCCAGTCTCATGACCTACATGCTGACAAACGTAGGCCTCGGTGGAAGAGACCGCAGGCTTCAAATAAGCTGTTATGGAGCAGAGAAATGCCTTGCTCCAGAGCAAAGGTCAGGACTTGGATAACCTGGTATCAGCACCTTTCAGGACTCATCTGTTGGACTTTGACGCTTTAGGAGGAGGCGGCTCCTTGGAGTGACGTTTGTTCCATTACTGTTGCAAAAACGTTTGTAAATTAAAATGAAAGTTTTAATTGGTAACTTTGCTTTTTTTTCAGTTTTTCACAGATTGTATATTTTCTAATTTAGTTTTTTCGTTATTTTCGTTTACAAATTTTTTTTTTCCAATTTCTGTTTTTCAAATTGAGGGTTAGAAATTGCAGAGTTTTCAATTTAAATTCAATTCTCTTCCCTTCAAATTGAATACAAACTCTCGCTCTTGACCAATCAAAGTTTGGCTGACATCCAATCAACCAATAGAAATGCGTCTTTGCCTCAGAATGTGATCTGGAAAACGCATTTTATAAAAAAAAAGAAATTGAGATAAAAAAGAAGTAATTATAAAATCAAGATAAAAAAAATTAAGATATAAAAAGTAATTTTTTGTGAGTTAAATTTAGTAAAATAAAACATTACGAAAAACAGTGAAAACGGCAAAATTACACTCTGTTTAACCTTTTTTTTTTTTTTTTATAAAACATTTTATATATAATATCTATAGGCAATATGCATGCGCAAGATGTCAGATATGAGTTTATCCTGTTCGTTTTGCACGAAAAATAGACTGTAAACTACCTGTAAACTACTGGGGTGTGTCCCTTTAGTCATGTAAAAAAAACCAACAATTCAAGGTGATATCGCCATACGCTTAAAAAAACACCAAAAAATATTTTTTTTTGTACATGACTAAGGGAATAAACGCCCATTGAGGTAGGGTATTTTCATCCAAAAATAAAAGGATAAACAGGTATGCTGATCTGATAGAACACCGGATTACTGCCAAATATCTATTTACACACCATCTTCTCTGCTTGCAGCAATAATGGAACAAAATTCCCCCCATATTCCAGTATTTAAATGCACTGGAATATTTCAGATTGTCCGTCTTCATCCTTTTCTCTGCATGCGTCCATCCATCAGTTATAAAAGCCAGACTTGCAATGCAAAAAGCAGAAGGAGCCATGTTCAGATGCTGTTTTTTTTTATTTGTATTCGTTGGGGGGGGGTTAGGCCTGTGCGAACCGCTCTCCCCGTGTGCGGCGAGATCGTATCACCCTCTTGTTTTTTTTGTGATTCCTCTGTAAAGCTTTGTCCCTCCGGCCTGCCTCTACATGTCTCCATGCAGCCGTAGCTCTGTTGTCACTGAGCTACATCCTGTTGGGTTGGAGGAAGGACAGTAGAGATAGAGAAAAGAGGAGGAGGGGGGGGTGAATTCAGAAAGACAATGCGTCTTTTTTCGGGTGTAAAAAGTTCCCAGACCGGTTTGTCCAACAGGTGCAGGAGCATGGAAGCGGATCGTTAAAGGAAACGGGACGGCGTCCGCTTCAACCGTAGGGTTTGTAGTCCAGTCTGTAAATGTAGTGTCACTTCCTCAGAATATGGAGGCCACTTCTTCTTTCTGGAGGTGACATTTTTTCTTACCAGAAATCAGTGACGCTTTTTTAAAAGTTTTTTTATTTTCATATCTACATGGAATATGGCAGCAGCGCTGCAGGAAGAGAAAAGATGGAATCCTCTCCTGGTTTTCTTTTCTTTCCTCTGACGGCTCAATGGGGTCAACCGTAGCTGCACGTTAAGGAAACGATGAGCTCAGCATAAAAAAGATAACTGGGGGAAGGAGGGGTAATCGAGCTCATCTGTCACACTGATGGATTTTTGGTGCAATGTCGTTTTCCTCCCAGCGCCTCATAAACAACGGTCGCTGTAGAAGCTAATGACCGGCAGAAGATGCTGATTAAACAGGTGCCTGAGTGAGAGTTGGGTGGAAGCCAGAGGCCATAACTGGAATTCCAGAGAGCGGAGGATCAAGTCTGGATGTGTGCAGAGCGGCGCTGCTTCTTTTCGTTTTTCTCTACATTTTTCCTTTAGTTGCCATTGCTGTGCACTGCCGATCAGATGGCATAATATCTGTAAATATTATCTCATACCTACAAGCTGGACTTATTCTGCCTTCTTGATGCGCATTCGGCTGTATTAAAACAGCAGATCCTGTTTTTATGGAGCAGAAACATATAGAGCTGTTTGAAAGCGACACTTTTAACACTGGATCTTAAAACTTGCTTATTGAGTTATTTCTTGTTTTTCTGTCAAACAGGGAGGTTTTTATTGTGGTGCATACTCTTGATAGGAAAAATTTGATTTTTCAGTTTCAAATCCACTATTTACACATTGGGATTTTATTAGATTTATATTTCTGTTAAAGGTATACTATGCAACCGGTGTTGATTTTCCAGCGAGGCTCCCCCCAGAGGGCAAAAGTAAAAGTGCACTGTCGTAAATATGCTCAGCTGTTCTCCTGGCGCGGTTGTTTTGAGCTTAGCAGACAGGCAAACGCAACCAATCACCATGTCTACTGCGGTAGGGAGCCCTTTTCCTCTTTCTTGCCTGCTCCGACATGGGCTTTCGCTCTTTTCTCGCTGGTTCCGCCATGATAACTGCCCAAATATCGCCACTGCGCTAGCAACGAGCATGCCTTTCACTGGGGGGGCGTGTAGCAGTTCTCGCCGTAAAGCAAGACCGACTCGAGCCTGTGGGTGCGGGCCGAGGGCTCCCGCAATTGCAAGTACGGTATTTCCCCTACAGACCACCAGGGCGGCCGAGAAAACCTTTGTTCGACCTGAAATGACTCATTTAATCATCCAAAACGTTATGGAACACATTAATTAACTGAAAAATGTTGCATAGTATGCCTTTAAATTAACTTTACCTTAATGTGCTTTATGGTTTTTTTTAAAAGTAAAGAACTGGATCTGGTGTTTCTGTGAAGCAGCTGGCTGCAGAGGGGTGGTAATTCTGCTAATAAACCTGCTTTACAGTCAGAGTTGTAGTAACTAGTGCAGGGGTCTGCAACCTGCGGCTCCAGAGCCAAATATGGCTCTTTGGAGGCTCTCCAGCGGCTCTTAATAGTAGCTAAAATGCATATAAAGAGCTAAATAATTTACTATAATATATACCGGTATCAATAGCTTTAGCGTTTTTTATAAGATGGAAAAGAATGAGATTAAAAGAACCAGAAATATGTTTTAAGAGACATTTTTCTATGAATTAGCTCGAAAATTATATGTTTTAACATTAAAAATACACGAATTGTTGATTGTTTGAGATGGCAACAACTAATTTCCTATACAAGATTAAAAAAAAAGGTTTTCTAGAAAAAGTCATGGTATATTTTGCGGCTCTAAACAACTTTTACTTGGTTGGACTCTGGGCAAAACGGCTCTTTGGATATGAAAGGTTGCAGACCCCTGAACTAGTGTCTGATCTTTACCTGGAAGAAAGCACAGGGCGACAGTGGGGCGGAGGGGGACCTCCATTGGAACCATGAACACAGAAACCTAGGGAGAAATAATTGAGAGTAAACTCACCACATGGTAACCGTAACCATGGAACAATCTGATCTTTACTGTTAGATTTGGGTTCAGTCAATCTGAGCTGATTTTTGACGGAAGTTCTTTTTTTATGTCCTTTCATTTTAATCAGAGCTAGATTAGTTTCAATGATTATATTTGGACCTCATAAAATCAACGCAGTCATTTAAAGAAGCAACAAGTGCTTAAATAAAAAGCCTATTTTTAGGACTCCAGATTATCTGTTAGTGATATCTTTTATTTCTTTTTGTAGTTCATCAGGTTCATCCGCAGTCCTCACCCTGAGCTTCTTTTTTATTTATTTATTTTTTCTACACAGAGCCTTCATAGACCCAAAACCAGCTTATATGCAACAACACGCAGCATCAAACTTTGCAGAAGCTTTAGTTAGAAGCGTCGGGGAATAGCGCCAAGCTAAGCACTCTCTGGGTCGACGCTTACAGGCTTCTTTCTCAGGAAGAAGCCACAGATAGATCTTGGATCAACATGGCATTTTTGGCCACCAGTAGATAAACATCAGATGCATCTCTTTACCAGAGTGCTTTTTTTTTTTTTTTTTTTTTGGTGTTGTGTGCAAAAAAATAAGCATCCCTTGTCTTTGGTGTTTGCTGCATGCATGTGGGGAACTACCTAAAACATTTCAGATTCCTCCAATAGCTGCTCTTCATTCAATGGATAATGATCTTTAAGCTGTTTTTATGCTGGTTTAAATCCAACACTATAGGTATAAACCCACTAAATTTAATCAGACTATCAAAAGTAGCTGCTTAGGGAAACTGGAGAGAAGGAGGTGATGAGGAAGGGTTTTTATTCCTGTTTGATTAATACTAGGAGCTTGATATTGTCTTTGACTCACTGATTCAGCTTTTGAGCTGATTTATATTTCCTTTTGAGGTGTTTTATGAAAAAAATAGTAAGAAAAATACAGAAAATGTTTCGTCCAACCTTTCTTCAGTCATTAGATTTTAATAAATCTTTCCTGCCAAATTGGATTAATGGATTCTTTTTTAACTTTAGTTTCACGATGAATAAAAAAATGACAGAATTCACTTTCATAT